TATCTTTCAAGTGGGTTTCGCGAGGGCATTACGGTGGTTGGGGTCTAGAAGAGGTATAACTTAAATATGTCGACTAAAGAGAGGTGGAGAGAAAAGATTGAGGTGAAATATATTTCCAAAATAGGTGGAATCTTATTCCGTCTGACTTTCCTAGCTTGTGCCACACAAAACGAACAACCATTGATACATGAATCCATTTCATCGTAAACACCAAGATAATGCCACATTCCCTGCCTCATCCATTGCGCCTCTATTTTGTTGATTCCATTTGCAGCTGTGCTACAAGTATACGGGTCCCAATACTTTTGGAGAACATCAAAGGCACGAATGATCGCTCGACTCGAGACTATTTTGCATCAGATTAATACAAAGGCTTCAACACACTGGCACTTACTTGATTCTATCTGTTGCTCAAGAGATTTACAACTGCAAAATGATTGTTCTCCTCCGCGAGCTTAATGGCGTCTTCAAAGCCCGTTCCACGAAGGACATTACCTTTTGCTCCAGCATTCAGAAGCAATTGGACCATGTCTAAGCGGCCATGCTCAGCAGCTCCTTCGATTGCATATCGGCCTTCAATCAAGGAAGGCGCTGCATTGACTTCGGCCCCTTTTTCGAGAAGTAATTTGGCCAGCATGACGTCGCCAGATATGGCAGCACCTTGCAGGGCCGTGATTCCACCATGAACTGCCGGCTTTGAATTGATGTGCGCGCCTTTCTCGAGAAGGAATTGTACAAGCTCCATATCTGGGGTTTCTCTGGACGTGGCAGCTTGAAGAGCGGTACGCCCAAATCGATACCCCGGAGCCTCGTTGATGTCAGCGTCACGGTCAACGAGCATCTTCACAAATTTGAGTAGTCCATAGCCCGCTGCCAGCTGAGTTGGTGTCCTAGGCTCCCAGGTATAATTGCCTTCCTCCTCTTCTATCTCCTTGTTGCACCACATGTAGTTGATGATTGCATTTCGCTGAAGTTCCAGAATTCGGGCAAAAATTTCTTCCCAGCCTTCTTCAATGGCGCCATGAAGTGCCGAACTCGGCTCCCCATTCGGTCTGTTGACCGGCGCACCGGCATCCAGAAGCCGACTGCAAAGAACAATACGCTCTTTATTAGAAGACCAGCCCCAAAAAAGGGCCTCTAGAGCCGTTATTCCATCCACTAATGCAGGTGGTGCGAATATATCCGCCCCTTTATCCAGCAAAAAACTTGCAACTTCAACAGAGAGCTCGCCTTTGAGTGCTGATTGCAGTGCGGTGCGCCCACCAATCGCATAGGCTGGTGCATTTATATCTGCCCCACGTGTGAGAAGAAACTCAACCATTTCCAAATCGCCTTCACTGGCGGCTGTTTGAAGGGGATTCATTTCAAGCCCAGGGGTATTGACATCTACTCCGGAGTCCAGTAAAAAGGCTATTGACGATGCATAGCCCAAACTTACTGACCTTACTAAGGCTTCCATGCCTTGATCCTCGAGGTCCACCCCTGACGTGATTAATAGTTCTAGGAGCCCGACGTCAGCATGTTGGATAGCCTTTTCCAGAATACCAGGCGTGTTGACATTCGCTTTGAACTTTATCAATAGCTCGCAAAACGGGGCTTGCTTCCCTCGGTCTAACGCGGTCCACAGGGGTCGAGTTTTTAAGGTGTAGCAGTCTGGGCCAACTCCATGCTGCAACAGTGCCACAGAGGCCGCGAGATGCCCCAGCCGTATTGATTCACTTAGCGCTTCCTCTAGTTGGTACGTTGCAACTTGTCCTTCGTACCTAGACATGTAGGCCCCCAGGGAACGCGTACCTCTCCTCGCAGCCCCAACCAAGTCTCCAATAGTGACACCATCGGTGATGGACCCGAACTTTTCCTTGAGAAAATTATAGATGTTTCTGGAGTTCAACGAACACCACTCCAGAAGATCCTTCCCTCCCACTGTGCATGAAACCTTTGAGCCATGTTCCACGAGCAGTGCGACAATCTCTGCATTTCTCATGTAAGTCGCCTTTCCAAGAGCTGTGTTTGGATTCGACCCATATACGACACAGTTGACATCGGCGCCAAGGCTTAGCAGAAACCTGATCGTACGGACATTCTTGCAAGATACCGCGTGGTAGAGAGGGGTTCCGTAGGGTGATCGATGACAGTCTACGGATACTCCATTTTGGACAAGCACCCGAGCCAGGTCAAAATGGTTCCCGTTCACAAAATGATGGAATAGCTTGACCCCTGTTTTTCCTTCGAAGCAAGCCGAGTCAACTCTAGAGAGAACAAGTTTCGTGAACTCCATATCGCCTATGGAGATTATATCATCTAAGACCTTGTCGAATTTGACACCATGGTCCAGGAGTGCGCTCAGAATTTTGACATTTTTAATTCGAGCGGCGGACTTGAGAATCTGCGCGGCGAAAGCATGGATTGTTGGGGTGTTGATCTGAAGGAATCGCTCAAGATAGTCGGTATATTTCTGATCGATGACCCACCTTAGAAAATTGTCCATGCCAATACCAGTTCCTAGGCCATTGTTGGACGCGAAATAGGCAGCTAGTCCGAAGAGAGAGGATAAGTGGGAGGCATCCGTCGAGCGTGCATCAAGAATATGGCCAACTTTGTTGGACAGCTCCCCTTCCCATCTCTCGGGTACGAGTCGTTGGAGTTTTCTCGTAACCTGGGCAATATTTTCCGTAAGCTGCAGCTCCGGTGTTATACCGAGTAGCTTCGATAGGACATCTTGTCGTGCCTCAGTCGGTAGGATAACAGCAGTGTTGGCAGGCGAGAATAGAATTCCGTCTAAGATAGGATGTACCTGCAGGAAGGTATATTCTAAAAGCTACGCTTAGTCTGGGGAAACAGGCTCGCGAATCATGGAGTAATCATACCTGGCTGCTCGAGCATGGTCTGAAGCTGAAAATACGGCAAGCCAATCATGATCTGAAAATCGGGACGAGGATCGATAACATCTAGGTTGACAAATTGGGAATATGGAGACAGTCTTTGTCCTGCAGATTGAGGCCTCGGAGAATTACCAGCGCTGAAACTGAAGGACTGTCCCGTAATTATCGGTGGAGATAAACAGGGTCCCAGTGCCCAGACGAAGTCGAAGTCGCTAGCATCGCCAAAGTTCAACTCACTTGATAGATCCGGACGAACTATTACTTTATTATTAGTTCGAAACACAGCCATGCATGGGCGTATCTTACAAAGGCTGGGGTCAATCTCAAGCTCTACTTCCATAGCAGCATCGAGCTCATCCAGAGGTTCCTCCGCGAACGCCATCCCCAGGGGGGGCTGCTGAATTGAGGAAGTTCCGGGGAATGTTTGAGGTGCATGAACTTGTACTGGGTTGCATAGGGGATGAAGATTCAGTCCAGGTGCAATCGCAGCCATTGGTGGTGGGGTCCGGACGGATATTCTTCCTGGTGATGGATTTGGCAGCCCTTTGTCAGATCAGCAGACTTAACAAGAATCAGTGTTGGCGTACTCACGATTTGAGAGTGTCGCAGCAGGAGCTTTATTTTTGTGACGGGCGATTTCACGAACAACACGATCGAGAGGCAGCGGGTTGTCATGAAGGTAAGGCTCAGACTCCTTGCCAAGTGCAGCGCGATGCTGCATCTCTTGACCAATCCAGATCCACTCCTCGGCCTTCACATTTTTAAGCTTTGGGAACCTGGATTTATACTGCCTCGCGCTTGATTTTTGTGTCGTTAGCTTGATGATCCAGTAACTCAACATGGAATGGTGGTCGATATACCTTGCTTCGAAATTGTGCTTTTCCCTCATGTGTGCTTGAACCTCGTTCAGGGTTCTTCCCTTGGAAACGAAGAGATCGCGGATTTCGCTCTCATGTTTGGCCCAATCTAGGGTTACCTGACCATTTTGGGTCATCTTATCGACCCGACTGTGGGATGGGTTAATCAATGAAGGCAGAAATGCAGTAGATTCTTGAATTTTAGCAGTGTGGGTAACAAGGCTGTCAACGTGAGTAGATGAGATGAGGTGTTGGCAAATGGGTCACCTATATACTTCGCGAGGCGCTGACGAAAGGACTTCAGGATTGGGCGTACTTTTGAGCGTACTTTTGGGCGTACTTTTGTCTGCGAAGGCGCACAGTTTTGAAGATCGTCCATTTCGCTAAGCGAGATCCTGA